AAAGTTGAAAGAATGTTGTGTTCACGGGTTTTCTCTCATCCCTATGAGACGAACATGTCAGGAAAGAGCGCAGAGAGTCTCTCTGGTGGAAACAAATCCTTCTTGTGCAGATGCTTTTTTAAAATGCTGCCTTGAAGGAGAAAGACTGAGACAACAAAAGATACAAGAGGATGCCCAGAAAGAACTTGGCCGGAGTGAGATGAAATTTTCATGTGGACATTGAATACTTTACATTTACTTAGTTATCATTAAATAACTGTGGCATGATTATCACAGTTTAATTAGAACACTTTCATTTAATTATTTTTAGCTGCAAGCACAGCTGACATTGAAGAGTTCTTCTTGGACACTCAGTACATCCGACGATATTTTCCCCCAAGCTTTGCTTTCACAACATTTGATGTAAATGGAAAAGGAAGGTAAGAGGTGGATAATTAATGTGTAACATTTTCTTTTCAAGTAAAATACAGTGGCCAGTCACAGCCTTTAAAACCTTTGCTACCACATAGTTTTGTTCAAGTTTGTTGCTGTTTGTTGCTTCTAATATTGTCAATGTCAGAAGTTTTCCACCATTTATTGTGGACATAAATATGGTTTAATGCCTTAAACCTACATTATAAACTCTAAGTAGACAAAGCATTCTTCAAATGCATTTTACAGCTTTAATTTTAATTGAAAACTTTTAGGTACTCTTTTGCTGTACCTGATTCCATCACCACGTGGGAGATTCAAGTTGTCACTTTATCTGCTGCCACTGGTAATAACAGCTTCCCATATCACAAATGCGTCTTGGATATTAGACTGAAGAGCTTCTCATTAATCACTGCACTGTCACTTCCTCTATAATTCATTTAGGTTTCTGCGTAGTTAAGCCATCTGAGTTCAGAGCATTTAAGAATGTGTTTGTGTCTCTGAGACTGCCTTACTCAGTGAGGAAATATGAGCAACTATCCATTGCGCCTGTTATCTACAACTATGGCTCCAGCGAACTACAGGTAGACACTATAATGTTATGTTTACATTAATTAGTGCTTAGTGTTTAACCACCTACTGTACAAATTCAAATTCAACCCTTAATGTTATTTTTCTCTGTTGACTCTTGTGTTGCAATAGGTGGCAGTTCACATGGAACAAACTGAGGGACTTTGCTCCCCTGGTTCAGCAACCACTATAAGTTTTGTTAACATTACTGTGGCACCAGAATCTTCCCAGTTTGTCTCCTTCTCTGCTGTCCCCATGGTAACCGGTCCAATACCCATCAAAATACGTCTGTACGATATTGAGAACGAGATGGGAATAGATGCAGTTGAGAAGACTTTAAATGTGTTGGTGAGTGACAAAGTCACAATATCAATTTCATAACAGGCATACCTGACAAATAAATTAAATATGGCAATATTTATGAAGTATTGGAAGTCATATTGGACCTCTGTAAAGAAGGACAGAAGAAGAAGAAGAAAAACACTTGCCTTTTTTTTTATTTATCGTTTCACATTATACACATTTTAATCACACTGATAGCATTGTCCACAGTTTTCTTTTTTAACCAGTACCTGGTGATAGCTATTTATGTGTGTTGTGTGTTAAGATTGTATGCCCTAATTGTGCCCTAATTGATTAAGCTTCCACTTGCATATTTCCATGTGTAAGGGAAGGGACAAAAAGTCATTTGGGTATCTATTTCCTCACGTTTCAGACAGAAGGATTACAAAAGAGAATAGAAGAAACCCAGGTATTTAAATTAGATGGTGAGTTGTTTCAGTATTTTTTACTAATGATATTACAGTTATATACAGTTATTTTTTTTATTATTCAGTATATTTTACATTTACATTTTCATTGTACTTCTCTCAATCTTGACAGGGCGAAGCACAAAGAATTTCACTATTGATGGCTCTTTACCAGATAACACAGTCCCCGACACTGAGTCCAATATTTTCATTTCAGCAGAAGGTATGTACTTTTATACACAGACATCAAATTCACAGACCTTGGTAAATGACAGTATCTCACCCTTTCAGTGTCCTCATTTGACAGGGGATGGATTTGGCAGTTCACATGCAAGGAACCTCCTTACCTTTGAAAAGGTTGCTGGCTTGA